AGGTTAAAAGTACTAGGTTGGAAACCATACAAATGAATTTAGTTCCTAGATTGGCACTTACTAGCTGGGTGGCCTTAGACAAGAGATGTAACACTCTCTGGTGTGGTTTTCTCTTCTCTAACAACCATTCCTATCTCTCAGGGCAGTTGTGAGCATTAAATGAATTAAAATGTATAAAGTACTTATAATACTGCAAGTAACCTATTAAGTACTTTCTAGATATAAGCTATTATCATGTGGCCATGTATCTCTTGTTTCCTTGTGTCTCTGTGTTTTCTTTGGTACTGTCTTAAATCAGGGGTTTTTACTGTTATTATAGAGCCAAGATGTGTCATTGTTGCCAGAAGGACCACATCCTGGAATGTAAATTAGGGCTGGGAATGGAGGTCCAGAGTTTAACTGAGTTCCTAAGTTGCTACCTCATTGTATAGGCAGGGTGGCCAGAAGCCCATGGCTACTCAGAGAATGATCATGGCATCACAGGGCTGTTGTTATATGTTGGCTATGTCATCCTTTATCAGCCCAGGGGGCACCTATTTTCAAGCACCAAGGGCATTTTAAAGATTACAACGTTGATTCTGTTTCACTAAATTTAAGTAAACATTACCTATGGTAACTTCATCTAAAAATCCCTTACGTAAATGTGACCTGAACACCAGTGTTACATATGACATTGACCCCTAAATCATAGTACATCATATTTTAGATAGACACAGGGCCCAAACTAGAGTGAGTTCTCTCTCTTTCATGAATCTGGACCTAGAATATAGAAATTCTAGTCAGGAGCAACATCAGAGGAATGGCAGTGTGAGAGAGCCCCTCGGCCTCTCTCCTTGAAGTTTCAACAATTTGAACAGTTAAAACTCCAAAAAAAATTCCCTGCTCAACACCCAAACATTCCTGAGAGATCTGAGCATTGAAATATATAAAAGTGGGCAAGTGGTACCAAAATGGGGAGATGAGAAGGGAAAAGAGCTGAGATGAGCCATGGATGCAGCCCTGCAACCAGTAGCTCATATTAGGGCTCAGCCTGGAGAGGGGAGGAGTTTGGTTGTGGCTGAAGATCTCTTCAGCTGGGGTGTGCAAGGAGTTAAATGAAATTGAGGCTGCTAACTTATCAGAAAAAGAATTCAGAGTAATGGTTATAAGGATGCTCAAACGGCTGGATGACAAATACACACAAATGAATGAGAATTATAAGGAGCTGAATGAGAATGTCACCAACATGAAAAGGATCCCAAAGGAAATGAAGAATGACATAGCTGCAATAAAGAACACAATGGAAGGCTTAAACAGCAGACTAGAAGAGGCTGAGGACCGCATCAGTGAATTAGAAGACAAGGTAGGAAAAAACACACAAACACATGAGCAACTGAAAAAAAAAATAAAACTTAAAAAGCAAGAGGAGAGCTTAAGGGAGCTTTGGGACAACGCAAAACAAAACAACATTCACTTAATAGGGGTACCAGAAGGAGAGGAAGAGAAGCAAAGAATAGAAAACCTGTTTGAAGAAATAATGACAGAAAGCTTCCCTGATATTGGCAAGAAAAAAACGACACAAGTCCAAGAAGCACATAGAGTGCTAAACAAGATGAACCTCAAAAGACCAACACCAAGACACATCATAATTAAATTGGCAAACACCAGCAACAAAGTAAGAATCTTAAAGGCTGCCAGAGAGAGACAGAAAGTTACCTACAAGGGATCTCCAATTAGAATATCAGCTGACTTCTCAACAGAAACACACCAGGCAAAAAGGGAATGGAATGAAATATACAAAGTGATGCAAAGCAAGGGAATGAATCCAAGAATACTATACTCAGCAAGGCTATCATTCAAAATTGAAGGTGGAATCAGGAGCTTCACAGACAAAAAAGGGCTAAGAGAGTTTATTACCACCAAACCAGCAATGCAAGAAATGCTAAAGGGACTGCTGTAAAAAGAAGAAACAGAAAGACAAGAAGAAACACATGGTTTCTTCTGCCTGTAATGCTAAACATTAAGAATAAAAATGACCACAAACGAGTTCTTTTCAATAATAACATTAAATGTAAATGGATTAAATGTTCCAATCAAAAGACACAGGGTAGCTGAATGGATAAGAAAACATGACACCTACATTTGCTGTTTGCAAG